TATCCTGGAGTTCTGTTTTTCCCAAAATGGAGCTGCCATACTAGCTCGGATGTTTAAGAGTGAAAGAACTAAGCTGTTTGTTTAACTCACGGTTTTTATACCTCTTTTGGCACAACTGAATCTATACCCTAATTAATAAATCTTTCTATCACATAGATAGCAAACATTTTTAAACAATAAACTTTAATTAATTTAAAAACACAGAATCTCCTCATCTTAGGATAGGCTTATATCTCAATAAAACCATTGTAAATTGAAAATATCATAAATAGAAAATGCATCTAATGCGCCAAACTACTAAACATCACAGCTTAGCAACACAGTACACTATAGAATATTGATTGCTTACCCTTGTGATTGTGTGGCTGATGGTAGCTGAGGTCCCCTGCCACTGTCCAGTATGGGTAGACAATATCATGTTATATATTATTAGTTTTGGAAAATATCAAAATTCTACATGCAGTTTCTGCTGAATGCCTATTGCTTTTGCCCCATTATAAAGTAGAAAAATTATAAGGCAAATCTTCATAAGTAGGGAAGTATCTATGCATATTTTAAAACAAGAGATTTTACACATCAGAAATTATCTTAGGGCTAATACTATCTTATTTTGAAAAATGTCGATAAATCATAGTAGTAATAGGTAAATTTCACCCCCTCACTCCCACCAAGTTTTCCAGATCAGTGGGTACCAACGATTTGGAAAAGGAAGAAGTTGCTTTTCCAATAAAGAAAGAAGAGTCTGGAATTCTTGGAGGGTAACCCAAGAAGTAAAAGATAGCAACAGAGATGAGAAAAAGGAAGAGAAAGCCTGAGTTGTGCAATGTGATTCTCTGATTTTTCAGAAATTGTAAATATATAGTGAACAACTCAAGATTGCCTGATGTGAGTGCATTTTAGCAAACTGTTCAGAGTCTGAGCATTAATAACTACAGAAAAAAGGACAGCAGAAAGCAGAAAGAAACATAGCATTTAAGCCTCTGGGTATTTACAGAAATCTGGGGAAAGGTGCTATGGATTTTGTAATCTGTCAATAAAAGTAGCATGATCTCAATCTCTCAAGAAAGACCATCTCAGAAGACAACTGAGTCACCATATAAATTCCCATTATTATCATTGATGGAACCAAGAAAAGTAGGTTGTATTTGGTACTGAAGTAGCCAGATTTTGAAGCCCTAACAGAAATGTCTTTGACCCAGGTGATACTGAAGAATTCGAGCTTGAATGAGAGGGCCCGTAGAGCAGGTTTATCAGTCATGGCCACTTGGGCATTTGGGGCAGGAGAATTCCTTATTGTGAGGGCCTTCTTGTGCATCCCTGGTCTCTCTACCCACTCATTGCCAATGACCCGCTCCCTCTTTCCCATCATGGCAAACAAAAATGTCTCCAGACATTGTCACATGTCCCCAAGTTGGGGGGGTCAAAACCACCATTAGGGAGATTACTGTTAAAAGTGGAAGTCAGGTGGCTCATTGAGGTGAGAAGAAGAAAATGTACTAGGGTTAACCTTGGGAAATCCCCATCAATTTGGGGCAGGAAGAAAAAAATCTGCTTCATAAATGGATTCTCTGATAATCCAGTCCATGAGATATGTCTTCTTATCTAAAACTTTTCTGTCTAAAGAAGAAAGAACAGATGTTATCATCTTCATTTTGTAGGTAATGTCTAATTTGAAAATCTATCCATTTTTTAATTAAAAACATGGGCTTTTATCACCTTTGTTTTTAATTAAATAGATAGACTTTCATCACCTTCATTTTTATCTTCTGACACTCAAAAAGGATTAAGTGGTTTTCTTAAATAGAGTAAGACTATACAACTAACAAGTATAAATCATGACCAAGACCCAGGCTTGATTGACCCTAAATCTCAAGCCCTTTCCATGGCACTTCAGTATGTCTAATTTATATAATGCATTTTGGGAAGCTACAGGGCCTCTATTGTATACAACTTCAATAGCTGCCAATTCCCCTAGAAGATGTTGTGAGTGAAACTTTTGAAGATGTGTAATAAAGTCCTGTATTCCTCTCAAACCTCCAGCACAGGTGTTATTCCTGTTCCTAAGAACCTGAGTTATATCAAATTCTACTCTGCTGTCTAAATATGATTCACTTTCAATTAAAATTCTGTCTTTATGCACAGCTGAGCTGAGTCCTTTCAGCATATTTTCCTTCCCTAAACTTCCTCTTATCTGAAAATTGGATTGAAAAGAAGTAACAAAAGGGAAGTACAGGAAGTCTCTGTTTTACTAGCAGACTATGTTCTCAAAGGTTATTCAAGGTTGTTTTCTTTTATTTATAACTCTTTTTCATTAAAAAATAAAATAAAAATTTACAAAGAATAGATAGATTTCCAGGTTACAGCATAAGAGATCATTTAATACAGAGGTACCATGAATGTCAACACAAATTTCCTTTGTTCAGACTCCAGGAGGATGGAATAGTTTCCCAAGGGAAGAGAGAAACCCAGTAGAAGTTA